ATATTCAGTCATTGTCTCCAAGTCCCGAGACAGAAGTGCTAACACCACTGGAATCTTGGACAGTGTAAGCATTTACTGGTCTGCTGTGGAGATGGAGGTGGGGGCGTTGGGGGGGGGCTGTCCCCATACAACCTCCAGGTGGGGCTGGCTGCCAGGACTGTGGTTAGGGGACTGAAGTAGGTGTCACCCAGAGCAAACTGGGCCATTAACCTATGGGATCTATACCTAATGAGGGTCAGAACGGAAGTGTGGGGTTTTAGGGGGTGGCTACAGAGACCTGCAGAGTTCCTTACATTTCCACCAAGGAAACCCTGCCTGGCTGCCATTTGTTGCAGGGGGTGACTTCCTATGCTGCCTTGATTCCCTCGGCCTGCTCTCTGGCATCCCAGCCCGGGCCTGCCCTCTAGAGGCCAATGAGGAAACCGCTCTGGCCTGTGGCCTGGACTGCTGTGCCTACCTGCTGCTGTTACCAACCCTTTTCATTTAGTCCCATCTGGGATTCCACCGTCCAAACTGCCATCTGGGTCCCATTGCTATGAGATTTTTCGGAGCAGCAAAGTGGGTTGGCTTGAAACAACCAGCTCACCACCCCATCCCAGAATCCCCTCCATTGGAGTCCCATTTGGTGGAGAAAATTTCTATCTGGCCAGCACTACTGCCCTAAGTCATCGGGGTCAGGTTCAGGTGAAGCCAGCTCTCCTGTTTCGCTTCTTACTGTACTGCTGTAACTGGAGCTGCGGTGGATTCTCAGAGCCCTGCCTAATGCCAGAAACTATTAGTCACTGTCGGGGCTTCAGGGACCGTCTTTGTGCAATACCTTCCAGGGCCAAACCATGCTGCAGCTGGGGCAGCGGCCCAGCTCTTCCTTCCTTCCGGCCTTGCCACTTTTGCAATCGTCTGCTGCTTGCCTCCCACTGCTGTTGGCTTCTTGGCAGCATCCCGGCGCTTCACACTTTCCAGGCCGGATAGCTTTTGGAACCACGTCAGAGGCTAAAATTTCAAAGCGTCACTCCTTTCATTTTCTTCCTTTTTTTTTTTTTTTGGAGGGGGGAATGGTTTCCAACCTATGAAAACTCATCTGCTAGCCTCCATCTAGCAAGTTATTAAAAGAAAGGAAACTGTATCTGCCTCAATGTGCCTTTTCACATAAAAAGATATTGTTACCTCTTGGGAGAACAGTCCCGCAAGACTTCTCACACCCCTAGACCCCTCCTGCCAGTAGGTGCCCACCTGCGGCTCTGTTGGCCTGGGTCTGTGGTGCAGCTTGAGCCCCGGCATTTACCACCAGCTCCCCATTGCAGGGAGTTTGGGCGAGATGGGGGCTGATGCTGCAGGTCAAGCCAGGAGCCACCTCCTGAGAGCCAGTGAGGTGGCATGGGAGCAAAGCAAAGCCTTGAGGATCAGGTCTGCCTGATTTCATGCTCTGTTGGCTGCACTTGACCAAATCCTAATCAAGCTGGCCTGAAGGCAGGAAAGTAGTTACTGGAAACAGCTGGGGATATCTGCAACGTTGCAAGAGTCGGGGGCAGAGCAGCAGGCTGAGGGGAGGGAGGGAGGACACCCCCCTTCTCTCATCATCCTTCTCTCTGTCTCTGTCTCTCTCTTTTCCCCAAATGGATCTCAAGCCCAAACTGAGTTGCTCTGCTCAATCAAAGGAAAATCTAACTGGACACTCCCCACACCGTCCCCCATGACCTGACTGTCCTCAGGGTCCTGACACCTGTAAAGCAATGGGTCTGGGTCCAAAGGGACAGACAGAGTCTGTGGGCCCAGCTCTGACACTGCAGGTTGCAGCGCAGACTTCAGATGACATCACCAACTGGGTCCTCTGGGCCCTCATTTTCTGAAAGAGAGAATTATGACTCAGAGGAATCAAAAGCGCTTCCAGGGGGCACAGACATTTCACCCGGTGATGAAGCCACGGCCGGGAAGTGTCCTGTGTCCTGGCCAGCATGCCTGGAGCTGCTGGTACCAGCTCCGGGGAGTGACTGTTAAACGGTCAGCACATTTCCAAAGCAGGCCAACCTTGATAACCAGGACCACGTTTTTTTTTTTATCTTCTCTTCCTTTTTCTCTTTCTTTTCTTTTCTTTCTTTCTTTCTTTCTTTCTTTCTTTCTTTCTTTCTTTCTTTCTTTCTTTCTTTCTTTCTTTCCTTCCTTCCTTCCTTCTTTCCTTCTTTCCTTCTTTCCTTCTTTCCTTCTTTCTTTCACCCTTCTACCCTCCTCCTTTATTTCTTTCTTTGTATGGAAAGAGCTGGTTTATAGGTACACTATTGTCTAATTTCATGGTTGGGGCAGGGTGGAGAATGGTCTGCCATTGAGCCAAAGATTCTGTGTTAGCTGATTGCCAGCTGCACCCCACTTGCATATCTGGTCCCTTGGGCCTCCCTTCCCACACAAGAACACTCTCTCTCTCTCTCTGAAACCCATCTCCCAAGTAAGTCCATTGGCCTCACACTGCCTGTTGTTTGAGATTCACAGTTAGCTCCTTTCTGTTTGTTCAAAACAAAGAACTCCGGTCTTAAAAGAGTCCTAACAGAAAGAGCAAGTTCACATGCCAGGGCAAGGCAGGTGTCTTTAAGATACTTGAAAAGCCAAATAATCTGTCAGGCAGTCAATGAGCACATTCCTCCTGAGGCTGTTGTACTCCAGTAGTTGTTCTTTCAAGAGAGAAACCCAGGTGTGACTTGTCCAAACCATTTCTCCAGACCCAGTGGACCATTATCCTATAGCTTGGCCTGCAATCTGATTCCCATCACCAGACAAAGGCTGAAGATTCTAGAGGCCTCTGTGACTGTAAGTGACTCCTTGGGGCCAGGGCTGCTGCCACAAAGCCCGCAGTGCACTTCCACTGCCACCGTGGCAGCTTTTCCCTGCGAACTCTTGTCCCACATCTTTCAGGAGGCTCATGCTGCCTGCACCTCACTGACCACAGGCAGCATTGGGAGCTGGGAATGGGCGGGGAATGGAGGTGGGGGTGATGATGGGCCTGAGTTTCCATGCAGCCGTGCTTCCTGGGGCCGGAAACCTAAAACAGCTCAAAGCAAAATTTCTGTCTTTCTGGGGAACCGCTACTGCTGCCTGGGCCACTGCTACTGCTGTGTCTCTAAGCACAAATTTCCTGGAACACCAGGGTGTCATGTGAGTCCCTTGGTGCCCTTGACCCAGGGCTTGCTTGGCTCTTCTGCTCTGATCTGCACTCCTGGGGAGATCTAGGGAGGCTAAGGGTGAATGAAGTGCTGGTCCCAGTTTTGATCTCCTACTTGTATTTTCTTCTTCCTCCTCATCCCCCTGCCCCCACCTCACTCCCCTGTTCTACACACTCACTGATCCATCATGCATTTCCACCTTGCACTAAGCTAGGCACTTGGAGAAGCAAAATGTGCATCGAGGTAGGAAGAACACAGCCCAGGGTGCCAGCTGCCGCCCTGGCTGAGATCAATCTGCCTCATGTTCTCCCTTGTTTCTTCAATGATTGTTGGCAATGGTGGGCATGAACTCACACCTTCCTCCCTCCCTCCCTCTCTCTAGCCCCCTCTGGTCCCCTGAGGGAGCAGTAAGGAGACCTGGGAGATAATCTCTTTCTTGAAGTGGGCTGTGCAATGTACCAGGGCAGCCGCGAGTGTTACTGAGTCTCAAAATGCTCTTACTGGGTGAATGCCTTCTGGGACAGCTCTCTACTGCCCTGACTCATGAGGGAGACAGCAGAACAAGGGAACTGGGTTTGGGCATATCTGACTCAGAGCTTCTTACAGCTGCAATGACAAAGACAAGCAGCCCTGCCATTTTCTATACCGCTATTGAAACTGAGACAGGAACGTCATAGGAGAGGCAAAGAGTTGGGCTCCTGTCCCAGCTCCCAGGCAGGGTTGCATGTGATTTTAGGCATGCACTCTGGCTATTTGTCCTCTTTTGCAAACCAGAATCAGTTGCTCTTGTCATTGCCCACCTTATGGGGCCAAAGTGAAACTCAAATGGATGTGGAAACACTTGACGAGACAATCAATGCTACAGCCAATGTGATTCCTCTTTGCACCCAGTTGTCTTAAGGCCTAACCCAGGGGCTTAATGGGTTCCTCCTGCAGCCGCATGGGTACTAGGGTGAGAACTCCAGGGGAGATGGGAGGTTCAGCTTTCGTTGGCATTTGTGTCTCCAGTACCTAGGATGGTGCCTGCTGCAGAGTTGCTTAGAAGACCTATTAGGTAATAGCCACTGGGTAAGTGGATGGATGAAAGGAAAGGGTGGCAGCTTAGAACATCCCCAGGGGAATCCCTCCTGCACCCCGACTCAGTTCCTGTGACCTGAGTCTGAGGAAAGACAAGCCCCAGTCCCCACTGCGTCCTTCCAGCTAGCACTGGCCAGGAGAAAGTGTAGGCCTGCCACTCTCCCCAGCCAAGAGTGTGTTTCCACTTTTCCTTTTGTAAGGTCCACAGTGATCAGGCAGAGGGTTGACCAGAGAGAGGCTGCTGACCTGTAGGCAGTGCTGCTGGGACACACGGTAGCAATGATGGGGCAATGGGCTGGGTGGCTAAGAGCCAGCAGAGCCCTTGAGACCGATTCTGCTCTGGGTCTGCTGCTGGACAGCTGGGCAATGCTCACATCCAGAGACAAATTCTGTTGAAAATCTACAGGAACTCCTTGGAATTGGTGTGCTTGTGTGTGTGTGTGTGTGTGTGTGTGTGTGTGTGTATGTCCATGAAACAACTCTCCACCTTGCGTTTGAATTGCCAAGGTGACAGGTATGCTCTGACAACTGGTGGAGCCAGGAGCAGGTGGAGGAGACTGCATGGTTGAAGGCCACTTGGCCACTGGTCAGTGGGGTGACAAAGAGGAACAGCAAAAAGAGGGAGAAAGTGAGGGAGGGGCAAGAGGTAGTGACACTAGACGAGTGACACGTCATGGGTGCTAGGACATGGAACAAAGAGATGAAGTAAGAGTGGTGCCATTGAAAGGAGCTCTGATGAAAGACTTGAAGATGTGGCAACCAAGAAGTCACTGGTAAGTCGCAGAGGCAAAGAGTCAGACTCAAGACAAGGCGAGAGATTGGGGACGGAGGTGGCTGCCCAGCGAAGGTAGGCCCTGATGGTGCTGTGCACACTCACGGAACACACAGGAAAGGACAGGCGCTTGTGGTGAGAAGAGGGGTCAGGGTTGGGAGCCTGTCTGTGTGGCCTGCACGGACTTGGTCTTAAGAGAGGGGAAGTTGTCAAAAGAGGGAATCAGGGTTGGGGAGGGAGACCAGGGTTTTTAGGCAAGGGCAGAACTCACATGCCCTTAATGATTTGTGGGCTCAAAATCATCAGCCTGAAGTTGTGACACGCGGCTCAGTGCAGTTCCATTGTCAGAAGTCATCTCTCAACAGCCTGCAGAAAACCCTGCAGACCAAGCAGCTGCCAAGGGCAAGATGCCTACAGGGTTTGTGGAGCTGGGTTCAAGTGTTTGAAGGCAGGTCTTTGAAGGGTTGGGATGAGGGTGTGGATCTGACTAGCATTGCGCAGAATTTAAGATGTGCAACTTTAGTACCAACAAAGAGAGAAGGTCAAATTTTTCGAGGGGTGCAGTTTCTTGACAAGTGAACCATTTGTTCGTCCTGGTGAGAAGAGAGCTATTGTCTAGTCTACTAGTTGCCCAAAGAAAAGCAGAGAGGAGCTTTTAATTGGGTTTACAGCCTTTCTTTGTAGAAAAGCATTTTCCTGGAAAGAGCAGATGTTGTATTGACAGCCTGGAATGATAAGCTCTGCCCATCCACCGGTGCAGGTGGTCTCCTTTCTCAACACTGGGAGTCTTCAAATGTCTTCTGGAGATCTTCTAAAAACTAAAGATCTTCTAAAGTGATGTTTGCTTCCCCAACTCTTCAGATGTACTGTCTTGGTTGTATGGGACACAACCTGGGCATCAGGATTTTCACTAGAGTTAAACAGAAAGATAGGGAATGGACTCTACATGTGAGTGATGTCTTGAGAGTATATGAAAAGATGGATAAGACACAGCCTATTGTGGACTGAAATTAGACAGCTGGGCCCCAGAATGGACCTGTAGCTTCCACTGTAGAAGGGGCAGGGGCAGGTGATAAGAATGCCACAGTGGGAAGATCCAGGATTGCGGTTGGGGGTTGTCACCAATCGGAGGTCAGACAGGAAGGGACTAAGGTACTGAGCAAACTCACTGATGTAGGCAGAGGGTTTTCCCATAGGTCAGCGCAAGAAGCTGAGGAGCATGACCAGGGCTTGGGCTAAGAAGGGGCTTTAGAAAGACCCAGAACATGAGCATGTGGCTGTTGTGAAACACAAAGTTGGAGGTCCGAGGTCTCCCAGAGGAAAAGCAAGATGTGGAGTGATGCAGGATGCGAGAACACCTTGAAAGAGACAGGTGGAGGTGGCCATGAATCTACAGGAGGCCATGCCATCAGCGACTTGAAGACAAGTGTGGATGAGTGACTGAGTCCAAAAGATAAAACAGAGATCAAGGCTCCTGCGTCTCATTAGCTGAGAAATAAGCCAACTCGTCTCACAGCCCAGTGGAAGAGGTGAGGACTTGCCTGGGAAAGGGCCAAAGAGGACCCAGGCCTTCAGAGCCATGCAGTGCATAGAGGAAGGAGATTGGTCACAGGCTGGCATTCAGACACTTGTCTCAGCAAAGCAGAGGGGCCACAGAGCACGAGGCATGTCCTGGGTGGACAATGGTGTGTGGAGCACTGGGGAGGGGGATGCGGAGAGCAGGGGATAGGAAAACGGGTGGGCATGTAGATGGCTGTCCTCAACTCCAGCCAGGAGTGCAGTGGATAAGACAAGGAGCATCACCCAGGAGCCTCCCCTTCCCTCCCTTCCTTTTCCCCCTCCCCTCCTTACACTCCACTCCCCTCCTCACCGCTTCCTTTCCCTCTTTTCCTCTCCCCTTCCTTCTCATCTCTTCCCTCTCCTCCCCTCCCCTCCCCTCCTATCTCCTCGCTTCCCCTGGTCACTGCTCCTCTCCCACTTCTTCCCTCCTTTTCCCTTCCTACCTCTCCCCTCCTCTCCTATCTCTTTATGTGTTTTTTTTTTAAAGATTTACTCATTTTATTGGAAAGGCAGATGTACAGAGAAGATGAGAGACAGAGAGGAAGAGCCCCCATTCGATGACTCACTCCTCAAGCAGCCACAACGGCCGGTACTGCATGGACCTGAAGCCAGGAGCCAGGAACCTCTTTCCGGGTCTCCCACATAGGTGCAGGGTCCTAAGGTCCTGGGCCATCCTCAACTGCTCTCCCAGGCCACAGGCAGGGAACTGGATGGGAAGTGGAGCTGCCAGGATTAGAATCAGCGCCCACATGGGATCCTGGCGCGCTCAAGGCGAGGGCCTCAACCACTACACTATTGTGCCGGGCCCCTATCTATCATTTTAAAAATTGAGTCTTGGGGTAGGCCATACCTTTCATGGTTTAAGTGTCATGGTTAAGGAATTTCAGGACAAAATCAAAGCCCGCTTTCCACTTCTGTCCTTGTCAGTCCAACGCCCATATCTCTAATGAGCAGCCCAAGATTAGTCTCTCATGGAACATCCAAGAAGTTACAGCTGTGTCACCTGCTTCACAAATGCACCTTCTCCCTTCCATCTGCATGGTGGTGTTATGTGACCAGGGGAGGTGGTGTTGCACAACTCCAGAGGGCACAGTTTGTCTACAGTACATGGAACAATGACCTCAGAACTCCCTGGAAGAACCCAACAATGTGTGCAGCTTTTGCATGTATGTATGTATGTGGCCACCCAGCTTGCCTATCTTTCTTCAGTGGGCCCTAAGTGTGTCTTTCTCCTTTTTTTTATAGCTACCACTGTGCCAAAGTATGAATTTATCTTAACTTATAAAATGATCTACAAAGGACATTTTGATTGTTCCCACATATATGCTACATAAACAATAAGGAGCTTTCATTTTTGCACAATTTTAGGTACACAAAGGGAATTCCTCAAAATGCATTTAGCTTTGCAGACAAGATGCGTGCAGCCCACATCACAGTACCTGGCTTGGGTCATGTGGTTGGGTTCCTGATACTCACATGGGATACCTACATTGTGAGTCTGGCTCCCAGCTTCGGTCCTACCCATGTCCTGGCTATTACAGATACTGAGGAGCAAACTAGTAGGTGGGAACTCTGTGTCTGACTCTCAAACAAATAAACTGATGGTTTTTAAAAGGTTAGTTAAAGGTCAAAAGTTCTACTTGCCATAGATTGATACAGACAGTAAATGTTTTTAGCTTTGTGAGCCAGGTAGTCTGTGCCTCAACTTTCAACTTTGCCATAATAGTGCAAATGCAATCAGAGATAATGCATACACGAATGACCGTGGCTGTGTTACAATAAAACTTTATGGAATATTGAATTTGACGTTCTTGTTATGTTTATATGTCACAAAACAATATGCCTCTTTCTATTTGTGTTTCCATCATTTAAAAACATAAGAAACCTGTTTTAGTTCATGGATTGTACAGTGATGGCTGTAGTTTGCCAATCTCTGGCTTGCCCAGTACAGATGTTGCTAAGTAGGACCAAGCTGACTAATCTTTAAGTACCTTCATGCTTCTAGCAGTCGAATACAAGTTGCTATTGCTCCCTCTGTGTTGTCATCAAGAGTGTTTGAGTTTTGTAACAGAAATCCATAGAAACACTATCTCACAGCAGTTCGAATTCTCATTTCTAGAATGAACGAGTCATGTGTTCTAAAGCAATTTGTCCATTTCTGCCAATCATCAGTTTTGTATATATCCTTTTGTATATATTTCATTTCAAATATGGTTTTTGTGCTAGATCCTTTTTATTCTTTTACAGACAGGAATGGCTTTATCATCTTTTTCCAGTTATAAAAATGATCGTGATTATCTATGTGACAAAACTTAAAGAAATTACAAAGAAGATTTATTCTTAAAATCTCATCCATGGGAATACTACTCAGCTATTAAAAAAAACAAAATGCAGTTCTTTGTGGCTAAATGGGCCCAACTGGAAACTATAATGCTAAGGGAAATGAGCGAATCCCAAAAGGTTAGATACCACATGTTTGCCTTGATTTAACCTGTAATTTTTTTGTTTGGTTGTTTGTTATTTTTTGAACCTGTCATTGATACTGTCTCAACTCAGATGTTTCGAAGAATGGAACTTGCATTATTTTTAACATATTGTTTACCCAATACTATGTCAATTTATTCCATAATGTTGTATATTGATACTGAGGTTTTGTTGGGGCTTTTAACTGACCGGATCTTTACTCTGTTAGCCCTACCTTCAGACCAGAGAAGGTCTCCCCAAGAGGCCACTGAACTTATCTGGACAATAAGACGCTGAACTTTATGCTAGGCATGTGTTTGCAAGGAATGAATCTCAACTGAACTTGAACTATGGTTATGCAACAAGGTGGAGGAATCCACCATGGGGGGAGGGGTATGGGAGGGGTGGGGGGAATCCCCAGCGCCTATAAAACTGTACCACATAATACAATGTAAACAACAATAAAAAAAAAGAATAAATGCAAAAAAAAAAATCTCATCCATGGGAATTCTACTTCTGTCTTTTAGGTGAATGATTTTTCTCATTTTCCAGGCATTTGCATACAGACATGCCTTAAAACACAGACACACACACACACACACACACACACACACACACACACACTTTTCATTCAACAAACATTTGCTGTGCTCTGTAAGGCTGATTGTCACATGCCATTTGGTAACCTGTTTTTTTTTGTTTGTTTGTTTGTTTTTTGCTTTTTTTTTTTTCATTTAATAATGGATCAGGGTAAACTGTTCTTAACCTGTCACTTCAGACTGCTAACCCAGTACACCCTGCAGCTCAGCAAGCAATGCTGCAGCTTCTGGTGCACTCTGGGCTCATGGGTCAGACTGTTAAGATGGAGATGTCAGCTGGACACAGCCTGCTACAGAGCAGCTGGGCCACCGCTAGAGAGGCGGAGGCAGCGAGTCAGCAATTGTCTACTGAGGACCTGCTGGGGGGGCCAGACTCCACACCGTGAGAAAGAAAGCAGATGGAGACAGATCTTGGGCAAGACTTCTCAGCTGGAGATGGATGCTGAGAAGTCATGAGACAAGCTGTGTAAGACCCATCGAGGGAGAAAGAAAGGCCTGCCAGGGAGAAGAGGAGTGACCTGGGACTCTAGGGATGCTTCAAGCCCTGGGCACCAGAACTCTGGCAGACGCAAGGGCCTCTGTGTGAGCTGGGTGGGGTCTGGGAGCAGGAAGAGGGTCACCAGAGGGAGTTCAGAGAAGAGAACATGGTTAGCCTCAGGCCCAGGAGGAAGACCGGCTGATTCTGGTTGGTCACAGCAGGGCCCAGGATGGCTCCAGCTCCTGCTTAGAGAACCACCACTGGCATATATTGATGTGATGTGATGTGATTGACATTTTGAAGCGCATTCTAGTTCAGAGGTGTCACATGAAGTCACAGTATGTCTAGTTACATTTGGACTTCAGATTAAAAAAAAAAAAAAGCTCAGGATAAAACTTAAGTACATTTAATGGGCCAGCCCAATTGACGTTTTCCTATCCACTCATGGGTAGCCACTCAGCTCATGATGTAGCTTAGGTCTTCTGATGAGCTGAGTAAAGGACACTTGTTTTAGAGGTGGAGACGGCCTGAGGGAAGCAGGGAACATGATCAGAAAGTGGGTTGGCTGTCTCTTAACTACCTTCTTTAGGGCGTTAGAACTGCCCGCCTGTGCTGGTTCAGGGAAACTGGAGCCCTTCCCACAGGCAGCTGGGATTCTTCCAGTTTGCTTGAAAACTAGCCCTTTGCAAAGTTCAGTTTGATTCACCTGCCATCCAGTGGGAGGGACTCCATTCTGCTTTGATCTCACCTGTTGGGACTTTGTGCAATGGCTCAGCCCAACACAATGACCTCCCATAAAATGCACTTAACTCCATGAATAAATGTGGGAATGGAGAGGAGTAAAAATTAAATTTAATAATATTTGGCATGCTAAAAATAACCATTTCTTGTTAGAGATTTCTGAGATTCAACTGTGCCAGTCTTTTTTTGTTTTGGTAAAGATTTATTTTATTAATTTTATCTTTACTGGGATATGCAGAGAGGAGGAGAGACAGAGAGAAAGATCTTCTTTCTGATGATTTACTCCCCAAGTGGCCACAATGGCTGAAGCTGAGCCCATTCAAGGCCAGGAGCTTCTTCTGGGTCTCCCACACAGGTGCAGGGTCCGAAGGCCTTGAGCCATTCTTTCCTGCTTTCACAGGCCACAAGCAGGGAGTTGGAAGGGAAATGGGGCTGCTGGGATTAGAACCGGTGCCCATACGGGATCCTGGTATGTGCAAGGCAAGGACTTTAGCCTCTAGGCTCTTTAGCCTCTAGGCTACTGCCCATGCCAGGTTTTTATTTACTAAATGTAGCAACCCTGTTGTGCAGCTGTGCAGGGGTGGGGGTGTTGGGTGGGGAGGAATTCAGTAAATAAGAATGGTGAGTCTAGAATCAGTGGCAAGGGGTGGTTACAGGACACACTGTGGAAGCAAAGACCTTGCAGCTGGACGGCCATGAGCTAGAAAGTGCTGAGGTGACACCTAGGCACCTGAAGCCAGGTCTACAGACACATGGATACGAAGTCAGTAAGAACATGTCCAAATGAGCTGTAAGTGGCTTATTTACCTAGAACCAAGAGCACTCCATCACCTGAGATGCTTTAAACCATCCACTGACTTTCTTTGTTGCTTGAGAAGACAATTTCAGCTTTACTTGGATTAAGAGAAAGAAACAGAAGATGTTAGGACACACACTGATGATATATTGGTTCTCTACAACACTGGTTTCCTATTAATACAACAGGGAGTAGGTGATGGTGGGAAGAGGTGGGTGAGGGGTAGAGAGAAACTAATAGGAACAAGAAGAGAGTTGTGAGATACACTGGGTGTTGTCTTCCACAGTGGCTGACCCACTGGTCACAGGAGCTAACTAGCGGCTCACCAGTCTATGACCCGAAACGGGAGACTCCGGAATGTTTACTGACACCAGATCCAACCTATGAGGTAGGGGTGTATATTCCCATATCTCTTGCCCCAGGCCACAAACTCAGCGGTTACACTTAAACTTGAAAGCAGATGTGTCATCTGCCTGAACCTCAAGTGTGTGGGGTTTCCCTTATACCATGTTCCTGCATGTCATTTGAGACTTTGAATATCCTCAGGGCAGGGTAAATGGCTGTGGGACCTCTCCTTGTTGACTCTCCCTTTAGGAACAGTGCATCTCTGCTTCTCGCCACACCATTCACTGTGAGCAAGGCCCAAAGTGGCAGAGATGCACAGGTTCCTGAACAGATTGCATCTGCTGTTCAGTGACGGTGTCTGGTTAGCTCTTAGAAAGTCTGAGAAAGATGCTCTGATAATCAGAGACCAAGCCTGGGTTTTGCTGAAATGGGGAAAGTTGTCAGAAGAGGAAATGAACTTCATCTTTGTCAGTTTGCCTTAATTGATGAATTTTCATTTTTCTCTGCAGGATTTGGAAGTCAGAAATGTAGAGAATCAGAGCCATGCTAGCTTTGTTGCAAGCCCAGCAGTGAACGGGGACCCAAGAAACAAGGATGGAAACACAGTGGAGCGGAATTGCTGATGAGACCCTGGTAGAGTTACCAGGTTTTACCGTCCTAACCTCAACCTTAGGCACCTGCTAACTGGTGCACCCCGGTTGTGTGTGTAAGGCCTTAAAGAATATAGGAAGTACTGGGGATGAGCAGAAGTAACTCCAGCATCCTGCCAAATTCAAGCTGACACTCCCATCCAGAAATGTTTTAAAGGCAGAGCCTGTGCAGAAGGTCAACACCTGCCATAATGACAAGTCACAGATACATCCACTGATCTACCCACTACCGCTGAAGACCTCCTGGAGACTGAAGCTCTTCACCAAACCAGCTCTCAGGGGCTACATGTTCCTGCGGGCCTCTGGAAGGATTCACACCACGTTCCTGATGCGTAACCCCTCCCTCCATTTTTCTAAGCCCCAGACAATCCCCGAATTCCACAGATTCCTCCAGATTCTTCTGCAGGAGACTCTTCACTATTCAGCTTCACCAGTCTGCCTTCCCAATCTTGTCTTAGACCTTTGTAACTTCACCTATGCAAATAATTTTATCTCCTTCTTTCAAAAATGTGTCCACACTCAAATGCAGAAAACATCGAATCAAACCTTTAACCAGCCTCCTCTGTAGTCTATCTTGAGTAACCTACCCTTCCTCCTGTCACCTGAGACCACTGTATAGAGTCCTTTTCAGCTGTGGAAGAGAACAATGCCCCCTTTCCTTTATATATAACAAAAGGTAGGAACGTAAGGAGCAACTCCAACAGTGAACTGCCCAAGACTGACCCCTGGACCCAGCACCACCTTGAACACCTTCAATACCCGTTTACCCAGCACTACCGTAAACCCCCTAGGTCTCGGCCTCCTTAAGATCCACTTGCCTAAGTAAGCTTAGTGACCTTCAGGTTAAAGCCTTGGCTCCACCAATCCCCTGAGGCATTTACCCCTGGCGTCTACCTGCAGCCCCATCTGCCAATCCCTGACCCTGCACTCCCCACACCCACCTCGAGGCTATGAAGATGCCCCTGCCCTTTGTTTTCTCCCTGCTCTTCTCTCTGTCTGACTCTCTTTGCTCCCACTTTCCCTCTGCCCCACGACTGTCTCCCGGGCCTGAATAAAGGACTTGTGGTGCCTGGTGTTGGGTTTGGGGCGAAAATAACTAACAGGAAGAACTGTATTTGTTCTTGAAGCAAAGTCAGAAGATAGGTAGAAGCTTTCAGAAGCTGTTAGTGAGTAACAAGAAATCACTTTCTAGAGTCTCCTGCAATATTCCAGAAGTGGATGAATTTCCTGCTATTGTACAGGATGAGCGCTTGAGTAATTTAATTCGACTATTAAGGAAGACTGGAGGGTGGAAGGATGGAAGGTCAGATTAAAGCTTGGGAAAGTTCTCATTGTGTGGCTCAGGCAGGAAATGAAACCAAAGGAGGTCCTGTGGGTTTCTCCCACTGAAGAAGAAAATCCCTGTATCCCTTGTTATGCAAATCATATGCAAATTGGAAAGATGATGCAATTGCCTAGAAAGTTTTGATGATATTATTTTGGTTTCAGAGGAGCTGGGACACTGAAAGGGAATGTTTGCCAGCAGCCCAGAGCTGTTAGATTTCTTAGCAGGGAAAGAAAATGGTAAATTCCGGATCAAGCAAATGCCAGGGTTTTTAATGCCTTAATGACTGCATTCCCCAGAGCAAGCCAAAAGTAAATTGTGAAGCAGTCAAGACATGATCCAGAATCACAACAGAACACTCTGGAAAGTGCTGCTCCATCTTACCCCACACAAGCCTTCCTCCTCTCACCCCAGGTGTGAAGTCTGGGCTGGAACTACTTCCTTCAAGGCAGTCTTTACAAGTGTTGGATGGTGAGAGGAGTCCTGAGCTGTGAGACGGTGGCCAGTGCCCATGACTGCAGCCCCACCCCAGGGGCCTGTCAGCATGGACAGGTAGATGTGGCCTTCTGGGACCTGCAGATGGAGTGGGAGCACCGCTGTCTCTCCAAAGATGATCTACACTGTGGGTACATTCTCTCTGGCTTTGAATGTATAAGCTTCCCTGAACACTAACCCACCTCTTGCTTAGGAATCCATCACCTCTCGCTTAGCAGACAGCATCTCAAAGCAACTGGGGTGTCTTCCTGCCTTTATGAGGGTTGCCTCCTGAAGGGCAAGTTCTCTTGCCTGCAATTCTCCCAGGAACCACCAGGAAAATGGCCACTGCAAGCCTTCCCATCAGAGCGCTCGTCCGAAAAAGCAGCAGTCCCAGGGTCCAGGGAACTGGCCTGAATTCGCATGAGGAGGATTCTTCTTCTTCTTCCTTTTTTTTTTTTTTTAACTTAAAAGATAGTGGGGGGGGGGGGAGAGTTGGAGAAGTAAGAGAGAGGGTGGGAGGGAAACAGAGAGAAAGATCTCCCATCTGCTGCTTCACTCCCCAAATGCTCACAGCCGGGGGTGAACCAGGCTGAAGCCAGGAGCCTGGAACTCTGCCTGAGTCTCTCATTTGAGTAGCAAGAACCCAAGTTCCTGAGCCATCACCTGTTGCTTTCTAGGGTGCACATTGGCAAGAAACTGGATGTGAAGCAGAGAAACCAAAAAAGTGTGTGTGCATGTGTGTGTATGAGAGAGAAAGGAAGGGAATCTTGAATCTGCTAGTTCATTCCCCAAATGCCCACAACAGCTGAGGCTGAGCCAGGCCTGGAACTCTGCCTGGTCTCCCACGATGACAGGGGCCCAAGCACTTTGGCCATCATTTGCTGCCTTCCAGGATGCACAGGGAGGAAGCAGAGCAGCCCCAACCTCACCGGGGCACTCCCAAATGAGGTGGGGGCGTCTCAAGCCATGACGTCATCACTGTGCAGGATGTGTGCAAGTGCAGAGGTTCTTGGAGCACTTGTTAGAAAGGCAGATCCTGGGAGGGCAGGGAGGAGGCAGAGTGGATACCAGGTACCAGGCAAGGTCATTCAGGAGCAACAGGTCTTCATGTGGTACAGCACAGTGAGGTGACTGCACTATACACTGTACAAGAAGTACAAGACAGGAGCCTATAGGCTCCAAGCACAGAAAAATAAGAACATTCTCATTGTTTCACTGCATCAGTATACAATGGATACATGCTGTGCCTCACAACATGCTCACCAAAAATAAATACTTAAGAGGCCAGCACTGTAGCACAGTGTCTTAAGCTACTGTTCGGGATGCCTGCATCCCTTTCTGGAATGCCTGGTTCAAGTCTTGGCTGCTCTGCTTCCAGTGGATGCATCCCAAAAGGTTGTAGATGATGGCTGTAATCCTGGGGCCCCTATCACCCATGTGGGAGACCTGGATGAATTACGAGGTTCATTACTTTAGTCTGGCCCAGCTTTACTTACTGTGGGTATTTGAGGAGTAAATTGGCAGACCCGAGATAAAATATCCCTCTATCTTTTTCTTAGACACACAGCCTTTCAAATAAATAAGTGAATCTGGGGGGGGAAAAAGAGTACATGAACATAGTTATATGAATTAGAAAAAAAAAACAGGCTGGGGCTGTGGCACAATGTGTTATACAGCTATCTGCAATGCTGCCATCCCACATGAGCACTGGCAGTTCCACTTCCAATTCAGCTCCCTGCTAATGCACCCAGAAAAGCAGAAGAAGATGGACCCACGTTGGAGACCCGGATGAAACTCCTGGCCCAGCTGGACCTTGCAGCCATTTAGGGAATGAACCAGTGGATGGAAGATATCTCTTTGTCTCTCCTCCTGATTCTGTAACTCTGACTTTTAAATAAACAAATAAATCTTTAAAAATAAATGTCTGAAAATGAACAGGAAATGCAAGCCCAGAAGCCTAGCCCAGAATCACCAGGTCCATGAGCAGCTCCATGAGTGTTTTACTAAGCCCTCCAGCCCATCCGGACTCACGGGGACTGTCAACTTCAACGCTGAGGAAGGTCTGCGCCCAGAAGCCTCAAGATCAGGATCACTGCGAGAGCTCAGTGTGTTTAGTGACATCATTTCCATGGCTCTTCTGAAGCACCAGATACTCCCACTATGCTGCCACGTGACTAGTTAATTATCCCCCTACTTCCAACCAAGGAGGAAGTTTGCTAGAAACTTCTGAAGTCACCACTGCCAGTCAGGAAGCATCATGAGTCACAACCGAGACGTCCTTAAACAATCTGAGTGGAAGCATCGTGAGTACAATGGCTACAGACCTGAAATCATCACAGAGGAAGAGAGACCCCAGCTAGGTGACAGCCTCCAACAGGCCTGGGGTGTCCAGGCTGGCTGAATGGCTGGGGCACTTGGCAGTGGCTCTGCCATCTACCTGTTCACTCCTCAAGTGCCTGCCAGAGTCTGTGAGGCTCAGCAAGGTGGAAGTCAGGAGCCAAGAACCCTCCCCAGTCTCTCATTGGGATGACAGAGACCCACGCACTTGGGGCATCTTCTGCTGCCTTCCCAGGTACATCAACAGGGAGCTGGATCAGAAGTTAAGCAGGCAAGACTGGAACCGTCCTCTTTTGTAATCTGCATCATAGCACAACAGTTTTGAAACGGAAAAAGCAGAGCTGGCACAGGGAAACAGACTAATCCTCTTGTTGTGTCAGCATCCCAAATGAGCACCGGTTTGAGTCCCGGCTGTTCCACTTCTGACCCAGCTTCTTACTTATGGCCTGGGAAAGCAGTAGAGGATGCATCAGGTCCCTGGGCTTCAGCACCCATCTGGGAGACCTAGAAGAAGCTCTAGGCGCCTGCCTTCAGATCAGCCCAGCTCTGGCCATTGTAGTCACTTGGGGAATGAACCAGTGGGTGGAAAATCTCTCTCTCTCTCTCTCTTCTTCTCTCTGTAAAACTACCTTTGAAATAACCGGGCCCGGCGCAGTGGCGCAAGTGGTTAAGGTCCTTGCCTTGCATGCCTGGGATCCCATATAGGCGCCGGTTCTATCCCGGCAGCCCCTCTTCCCTTCCAGCTCCCTGCCTGTGGCCCGGAAAGCAGTCGAGGACAGCCCAAAGCTTTGGGACCCTGCACCCGCGTGGGAGACCCTGAAGAGGCTCCTGGCTTCGGATCGGCATAGTATCGGCCCGTTGCGCTCACTTGGGGAGGGAATCATTAGACGGAAGATCTTCCTCTCTGTCTCTCCTCTCTGTATATCCGCCTTTCCAAT